TGTCTGCACTGGCAGGATGCTGCAGTTAGCACTTGGAGCTGGGGATTGAACCCAGGTACTCTGACTGGGACATGGGCATCTTAACTGGTAGGCTAAATGCCCACTCCTAGTGGCATATCATCTTATTCAATGCAAAGGGACATGAGCATAGCTCCACTATAGCCAGATATCACATAGACCAGGATCTAGCCCACCTGGAGATGGGGGTAACATAGGAAATGAACTGAAGAAGCAGACCCACACATATTTTACCAAAAAAGCACAGATTAGAATCTGCCTGCCTGTCCTGTTTGCCCAGACTGGTTGGTTTTCTTCCCTCTACCTCCCATTTTGATGCATAAGAACTAGGAGGGGTGGGTCCTAGAAGATCCTGTTTGCTGCTGGGATATCCACTGGCCAGAGCAGGCATTCAATCATTTTTAACCAGAAAACAAAACTTGTAGGTGTAACACTGGAGCCTTTCCCATCTCACAGACCTTCAGCCTGCCACCTTGGCTCTTGTGTGGGGTGTGGGCACAGGCTTTCTTGGCACTGATGACAGGAGGTGGGACTGTCCCTGCACTGTCCCGTGGGTTCTGAATTTCATCACTGTAAATTTAGACCACACAGCTGTAAGATCAGCTGCAGCTAGGAAGGGTAGTCCCAGTGTAAGCTGTGTGAGCTTGTCAGGTTTGCTCTCGAGGCCGTACTGGGTGGCTTGTGATGTGCAGATGATAGGAAGAGAGCTGTAAGGTGGAAAGACAAAATTGCAAGCCAAAAACTCACCTGCCCATGATGGGCAAACCTTTCCACTAGCAAGTGAGCTATGCAGTAGCCCAGGGATCCCAGTTGAATCAGAAGCTATGGAAGAATTTTACAACACAGGTGCATTGCTTGTTGCAGGTTCATCTCGGTTCTTCCTTCTCCTAAAGCAGGCAGGCACAAAGTGGCCCAGCAGACAGATGTTGGTGTATGAAAGCCAATGTGAGGGTAGGGAAGTCCTTAGGGGGCCAAGGCTGTGCCTCCATGAACTAAGAACACCCTTGCTGTCACATATTGGTGGCTTAGCCTCCAGAATACTTTCTTTATATGTGCATCAGTATAATCACCAAAGATGCTAATGTGGTAATAATCTTTAAGATGAGTAACATCCTCTGGCTTTCTTATGACTCCTTAAAAGAAACACGCTTTCAAATGAAAGCCATGGGGGTGCAGTGGACATAGCCTGGATTGAAAATCAGACTCAATATGACTGCAAATCCTGGCTGGGTCATGCACTAGCTTTGTGACCTAGGGAAGGCTATTTAGTGTCTCTCTGCCTTGGTTTGTTCATCCTCAAAGGATGACATGGCCACTGATGCTTATTCTTATCCTGTAACAGGAGTCAGTACAGGCACTGGAGTGTGGTAGTTCAGAGTCAACCAACTCAAGTCCAAGCTGTAGTTCTGCTACTTATCAGTTGTAAGCCACACACCTGCCTGAATCTTCAGTTTCCTTTGTTTCTGAAAGGGGGATAAGAATGGGCTTTATAGAATTATTATCTAATACATACAGCATACTAACAGCATCTTGAGCTCAGAAATCCTAATTGCCTCTCCCCCTCCCCACCAATATTTTTAAAATGAAAGAGATACTGGAGACAGACATATAGGCACTGAGAAAGGCAAATGAGCACAAAATTGACACACATCCTAGTATTGACTTAGGGTGCTGACAACCCACAAAAAATGGTAAGCCCCCCCCCTCCATTTACCTGATCGGCCACTCTGTATACATCTTCCCTCTGGCTGCAGTCACAGGTATAGGCGTGTACTTTCGTGGCTCCAGCATTCAGAGCCATTTGGCATGTCTCCTCATTCCCCTCCTTGTTGACATCCCAGAGAACAAGCACAGAGCCCAGGCGGGCAAACTGCAAGGCGAGGAGCCTTCCGAGTCCACTGCCCGCACCTGTTATGAGGACGATCTCACCAGCGACGTTCTTTCGCGGCCTTGGGATTATGGCTAAAACCATACCCTCCAGAATGCTCAACAGTGACCTTCCCAAGAAAACAAGAAACTCCTTTGCTGATTTCAGGTTGGAAGACATGTTCTGGCTGACACCTATGAAAAGAGATGGAATGTTTGCTTCCTATACGGAGCTCTGAGTTTCTGGAAGAGCTGAAGTAACTGAGAAACCTGATTGAAACATCTGACTTGGGAGCAGGCTTTGACCTCAGAATGGGGGAGGAACCCAACAGGTTAATATCTGCTTCTCTTTTTTATGTGGCTGCCTACCTGCAGGCCTGCTATGTCTTGTACATTCAGAAATGTATGTGAGCCAGGCACTGTAGCTCCCATACCAGCTTTAACCCAAAGGGTAAGCTCATTATTTCTTCCTAATCAGTGGTCATTCATAATAATCATAAATCCTGTTGGATGATTTTATGTTCAAAGACTTGGCCACACTGCAATGTTTATGACATATCTGCTAATTTCTGCTTTTATTTTTGTCTCCTTTTAGATTTCTCTGTTCTCATTTTGTCTTGGTGTCCTTTAACTTTGCATTGCTATGCCGAATCTCAGATCCCAGAGGGAAATGTAAATTTCTATTTGCACAAAGTATTTGAGAAGTGTTTTGAACATTTTCCAATGGCATTGCAGGCAATAACACACTAAGGGACTTCAAATGCATCATTGCAAAATTGGAATAAAGACATTTATTTTCATACCGAAAAAAAAATCGTGAAATCCATGCTATGTCATGATACATATTTCCTTCCAAAAGCATTTGTTCACATTAAATGAATCTTCTACATGTGGCTTCAAGCCAGCTGCCTGGGGATTTCACTTCCCTACTACTTTGCAGTGGCCCAAGAAGAACAGAGAAAAGGGTTCACAGTACAGTACAGCAGGCCCCGAAGCCTGTGGGTATGAGGAAAGATGCCCTTGAATCCATACTTTCTAGGATCCAGGTAGGGCATGTTTCTGACCTGGCCACTCACAGGGGTACTGATTGCTCCCACCCATGAGTCAAGACTGGCAGTTTCTCTGAGGACTTGGCAAACTAGGACTAACATTTTCCAGGAACATTTTGAAGTACCCTCATATGTCCATTCCCCAAGTCCGGAGGACCCCTTGCCACCAGCTCCACATTACTTATGGGACTGAGGTGAGACAGATCTGGACTCTTGCCTTGCCCTGCCCAGCAGGGAAAGGCTATGGCAGGCTACTTAGCATCTGTGGGTCTTCTCTCCCAGTCCTGCAACATAGGGTACTTTTGCAGATGCAATGAGAATGTTCCATGCTTGACTATCGTGCCTAGCTTCCACTAAGCACCTTTTAGAGGTTGATGCATTTCTCAGATTCATAGGATGGCTCCCCAAGTAGACACTCAGGTCTGCTGAATGAATCAAAGGCCTCCCCTTGACTGATAGCTCCTGCTGTCAGTCACACACATTTTAGTGAAAACGAGCTTACAAGATGCTTTACTGGGGCCGGCGCTGTGGCACAGTAGGTTAATCCTCTGCTTCCCGCGTCGGCATCCCATATGGGCGCCAGTTCTAGTCCTGGCTGCTCCTCTTCCGATCCAGCTCTCTGCTGTGGCCTGGGAAAGCAGTGGAAGATGGCCCAAGTTCTTGGGCCCCTGCACCCGCATGGGAGACTGGGAGGAAGCACCTGGCTCCTGGTTTTGGATCGGTGCAGCTCTGGCCATTGCGGCACATTACATTTAATCAGGCAGAAGACTTTTTTGGCGTCTCCCTTCCGTGGTCTAGGAGGTCCAAAGGCTGAGCTAAACTGAGTTCATTTTAGGCCGGCGCCTTCTTCCTCCACCACGGTGCAGCGGCAGGTCTGCCCTGCCTGGTCCCAGGGGTCAGGTAAAGGAATAGACAGATTGTTGAACAGCTTTGGCTGAAAGGGGAGAACTGGGGGCGTTGGGGCAAGGAAAGGGAGATTCTCTGAACAACAGACAGCAGGGAACTTGGGCCGCAGAAGCGACCAGGCAGGCACCACGTCCTCTGCTCGCGATGTGGAGGGAGCTGGCAGCTCACCCCTCAGGGAAGGGGAGGTCGGGGTTTGTACCAGCTTAGGGAACCTGGGCCTCGGGGACGCCAGAGCTGCACACTCCCCGGCCGTGGGCGTTCTCTCCAGCTTGCCACAACCCCAGGCTCGCCCCTGGCCCGGCTGTAGCTCGCGGATCCGCGCCCCTCGGGCGTGTTCCCGTCTACATCAGAGCATAAGGTGACCTCGCACAACCCCTGCCCGGGCGCGAAGCCAGCCGGCGCCACCTCCTTGGGGAGCCAGCGCAGGGGTCTTTGATCTCGGCCACTCACCCCAGAAACGCTGCCCTTGCTGTCCGCCGAGAAGCCGGCCTCGTCCTCCCCACGCACCCGCGTCCCCGCCTCACAGTTCGGCGAAGTTCAGGTGTTTATCCCGCCGCCGGCCGGAGCCCAGGTCCAAGGGCGGGACTGCCGCGCCCGCGCCGGGGGTGGGGCCGCCTGCGCCGGGGGTGGGGCGCCTGCACTGCTTTCTTCTTTTCCGGAGCTGCGAGATTTAGGAGCTGGAAATCCGGTCGTAGAGCCAGGGCGCGCAAGTCGGGACTTCTCGTAAGTTTAACATATCTGATGCCCAGGCTGCACCCTGGATCATGAAGTCAGAATTTCTGGGTCGGAAGGGGCCCAGGCGTCTGCATTAAAATATGTTCCCCAGGTGTTTGCAGAGCAGGACCCTTAGATTGGGAAGCTTAGCGTTAGAGAGAAAAGAGGAGGCAGCTGCGGAGATCATGCTGGGGAGGGGCCTGGCGGAGCCTCTGCAGCCTGCAGCACCCGGCCCGACTTCTCTAGAGAGTCTGGTGGCTCCTCTTGGGATCCAAAGTCAACAGTTTTCCCGCCGAGCGGAGGTAAACCGTGTGGGCGTGGGCGTGGGTGTCGGCTTGGGAGCCGCCGGGGAGGCGGTGGCTGCTGGCTGGTGGCCAGGGGGAAGAGGGCGAGGGAGAAATTTGTTCTGACAAGAGTAAGTTGGGAAATAAAAATCGAATAAGAGTCAGCGGTGCTTGGCGACGCAACCTGTTTTTATTGAACATCTCTGCGTGGCAAGATTCTGACGACATAGCAATGATACATCTGTCAAGAGAAGACAAAGGTAAGTAACATCCGTAAATAAAAATAGCAAATGATCTATAAGCAGAAGTCCCCGTGGGAATCCTTATAATAGAGGGTGCAGTTTGATGGATGGCATAAAGAGTAGACACGGTTGTAATTTATGAGGTGTTGAAGAGAAAACCTGGAGCCAGGACAAGCTTGGGTTTGGAATTCACCTGAGGGCTGGGTAGGACACAGTGGTGAGGGCACAGAGGAGACAGACTTTGCTAAACCTGGCTATGTCCGGGACACATCTAAGGATATATGGGGATATTTGTTTTTTATTTGTGTGTGAAAAGAAACAGGTAGCGGGTACAAGCCTGAAAGAGAGGACACAAGGGTAAGCCTTGAGTGTGTTTTTAGTGCTCAGGTGGCCAGCTGTGCTATGTATGGGGTGTCACGGAGCTGTAGGAAGCGTTTGGCCCACTGGAAGGTGAGTGGGGCAGGCGTGTGTTTGTGCACTGGTTTCTCATCAGCCATCACCACCCAGGGACATAGGCTGTGCAGGACTCTGGGGGAGCTGCAGAGCTCCCAAGGGGGCACTGGGAGACTCATTCATGAACTGCACGGGGTGTTCCATAGACAGGTAACTCAGGTGCCCCAGGGTCCATTGAAGAGGACACCCAGCCTGGGTGGAGACAGCTAGCGGAGCTGGAAGGGCCCTCCAGATTGGGGAGATGGCACGGGCTGAGGCACAGGGGTGAGCAACAGCTGGAAGTGAGGATGCCCAGAGGTGTGCAAAGGTTGGGTGAGGGCCCCCAGGTCATGTAGGCTGTCTGCGGGAATTCAGATGGCAAACTCCAGTCTTCCATCAACTGCATGACTTCTCTGAGCACAACCCTGAGCTGTCACTCTTCTTCCTGATCACAAGTCCAGGGGGGGCTTCAAGAAAGAAATCTCATGCAAAATATGAGCACAGGCAGTGGCAGATGCACCGCTGATGCAGGGGAAGGGGCCAGAGGCCCTGCCGGGTGCAGATGGTCCAGCTTTGACTTGATGTGGGGGAACACAGAGGACTGACTATAATCCTTTAATGCTAAGAAAGGGTTTGTAATGAATCCTTGTGAACAAAGGCTAGAAATGGGCAGTTGATGGTAAACGGTGTACAATGGGCTGATAAGCACAAGAGAAAACCATCTGACCACAATTTCTTAGGCCTTAGGATAAGAGAGAGGCATACTAAAGTTTCTTGCTTGTGGAATGTACACATATTTAAAAACAAAAACAAACAAAAAGTAGTATGTCTTTCTAGAGGAGTGGTGTCGATTATGTAATTCTGGAAACAAGGAGTGAGAGAGGTGCCTTCTGACCCAATTCCACCCACAGGACTTTAACTTTACTGAAGAATCAGGTATTGTTTGCTGCCTTCAGGAAGAGAAACTGGGTCATTGCAAGCCAAGGAAGGGAAAGCAATTTTTCACTCCAATAAGTCCTACGAATGTATTACCTCTTCAGAAAGTAAGTGTACTAATAAAAAAGGATCATTAATTTCTAAGAAGTTTGTGCAGATGGAGTAGTCTGTTGTTTTTTATATAATCTTTATAAAATTATGCTTATTAAGGTTTTGTAAAATACTGTTCATGTGATATGAATTTTAAAAACATAGCACCAGACTAAATATATGCTATGACCTAAATTTTCTAGGGAAAATTGAATTATGTGCATTAAAAAACTGAAAGTGAATTTAAAGTAACACCTTGACAGTAAGGACTCCATTTTGGAGCACCTGAGACTGCATCTTAAGAGAGCACCCCACCCTCCCTCCCGACACCAAGAGACACTGGTCTGAAACTATGATCTAAAACACTTGGACAATGGCAGCCTGCTCCATCACACCTAGCAACCTGCCTCACACTTGGCAGAGGATAGAAACCCCCTAGCATGATTGCTCAAGCTTGCAAGCAGATAGGCTGCACCTGGGTTCATGATAAAAATGTAATTTGTCTATGTCCTACCTATGGTTTAAGCAAACACCTGGATTAATGTCGCGATTATAATTGAAATTGTTAAGATTGTAAGTGGTATTGTCAAGATTATAATTGATATTAGTTTCCCATAGGTTTTAGGTCAGCTTGACCTCGGTAACCATGTATTCTCCCCTGATCCTAGCAACCATGTGTTCCCCTCCCGATTTTGTGGCTTTTGGCTTTATAAACCCTGTTGCTTTGAGCTTCAGGGTTGAGAGTTCTTTATGGCATGCCCACCGCGGGCAATAAAGGACCATCAAATTTTATCAATGTGTGGTGCTCCTTTGTTCACACTCGCTCAGGTACAACATTTTGGAGGCCCCAGTGAGATATGGAGCCCACCTCTGGGAAGACCTCGCTCCAGTCATTCCAGGTTGGTGCTCTGGCCATAGGGGAAACGCCCCCTGATGATGTTCCAGGGCCCCACGTCCTGATTCACTGACCTGGGAGGCTCAGATTGACCTCTTCACTGACCAGTTAGCCTTAGGTCCTCTGGTAAGTCGATTCTTGTTTTCTGGTGGCGCCTTCTGGGTATTCGAGGACTGACAAGATGCCAATACAGTCTCAGTTCTGTTCAAGTGCAATGGCGTTAGGACGGGAGACTCTGGTCTGGTTAAAGAAAGGCCTTTCCTGGATGTACTGGTTTCTGTTCCAGTTTCGTGGCCACTTTCTTTTTTTTCTTTTTTTCTTTTTTATTTATTTGACAGAGTTATAGACAGTGAGAGAGAGAGAGAGAAAGAGAAAGGTCTTCCTTCTGTTGGGTCACCCCCAAAATGGCCGCTACGGCCGGTGCTGCACTGATCCCAAGCCAGGAGCCAGGTACTTCTTCCTGGTCTCCCATGTGTGTGCAAGGGCCCAAGCACTTGGACCATCCTCCACTGCCCTCCCAGGCCACAGCAGAGAACTGGACTGCAAGAGGAGCAACTGGGATTAGAACCTGGTGCCCATATGGGATGCCAGCGCCGCAGGCGGAGGATTAGCCAAGTGAGCCACGGCACCGGCCCCATGGCCGCTTTCTGATGTACTGTCTGCATTCATGATCGCGGGAGGTAAATTCTTTTCCCTGTCCTGCCTGTCTCCTTTATTCCCTTATCTCTGGAGTCTCTCTGTCCCCTCCATTGAGCATGGGCTCTGCTCAGTCTAAGGGGACAACTTTTCAGTGTATGTTCTAAAATTTCTCGTTTTTAAATCTAGAAAGACTGCTGCCTTAAAAATTGCCTTGTCACTTGCCAAAGTTTTGTGGCTTGGTTTTTACAGATCTGGATGAAAAATAACAATGGGTGATCAGCCCTGATGTGGATTTTTTTCGATCTCTGGTTTATGTCATTGATTTCCAGCTGGAGTTTTATAAAAAGTGTAAATTCCACGTAAATGTAATTTTGACTTTAATTCAGATAAAAGTATGATGTATTATCAACATCTTAAGTCACCGAGGTGTAACTGCTAAATATGAATTGGGTAAAGGTAAATGAGATAAATGTGTCTAACAAATATGTTTTCATGAGAGTCCATATATAAAGAATAATTCAAGACTGCTTAAAACTAAGGTTAAAATTTGATGTGTTATCTTATTTTAAAAATGTTGTCTTAATTTACAGATTTTTAAGGGATTATTTCAATATAAATCAAGAAATCAGCAGATAAAAGGGGTCACAAGTATAAAATTGGTAAGGAAGCTTAAGAAAGAAAGAGGTTTAAAAAACAGGTTCAAGTTGTAAAAGGTGTGAGAAAGTCACAAAAGGTAGTGACAAATTTTCTTAATAAAAAGCTATTAAAATCTGATCCTCTGTTAAAACAATGAGGTTTTTGTAATACAGATATGTTAGTAAATATTTTTAAATAATCTTTAAAAATCTATTAAAAAACTGCAGCATCTCCTTTTAACAGTCTTTATTTAATTGGTTACTGGCATTTTCTATCTGGATCCAGGAAGCTCTCTTCTCTTTCCTAGCTCTGACTCTGTTACAGTTCTTCCAAGTTATGGGATGATTCCACGTGCTAACTTATATTTAAGGATTTTATTTCCCATTTTAATGACAAATAAACATCAATTTTGTATCCTACTTATGTTCTCTGTCTCTCCTTAAATTCTGATTGTTTAGAAACAGCTGTGTTTTTATTAAAAGAATCATGGTTTGGTTAAGTATATACTCAATCTAAAACATTTAAATGATCACTTTGTAACACGAATAAAATCGATCTCTATCGATGTGACTCATGCAAATGTCCAGAAGCTACAAAAATCTAATAATTTTGTTGTGTTATTAGTCACAGTGCTTGTCTTAATGAAAAACATTGTTGGTTCCGTGTTTAAATGTTTCCTCTTTTAGGTTTCAAAGCACTTTTTTTTCCTATCTTTATTGTATTCAGTACTTTGGTATGGCTCTACAAATAGATAAAGCCAAAGTTTAACAGGTTCCAACTAAAAAACATGTGGTTAATTTAGGTTACTAAAAACAGAAATCAATTCTAATTAATTGTAATTAAAAAAACAGTTAAAGATCTTAAAAAGCTGTTACTAAGACTGCTTTATTGTTCTATCCTGTAATGTATGTTATATGTATACATATTGTATGTCTACATAAAAAAGTATTAAGAACTCTGTTTTAATTGACTTATAGATATAAGATTGTTCATAAATTTAAACTACTAAGTTAACCCAAAATACATTTTTGGTTCACGTGACCTAAATAAACTTCTGTATCAGGTGTTTTAAACTTGCTGGTACAGAGAAACCAAAAATAATTTTTTTAAGTCATTGACATGTTCATGCTTGGGTTTGCTGGTTAAACAAGTTACACTTGTGCTAGATATTCAAACTATTTTTCCAACTACAAGTACTCTTATAATTTATAAAAGACTTTAGACTTTTTGGTAAATACTTTCATAAGTTGTTATTTGACAATTAAAATTGCTTACTAAGTTTTCACTTAATATTATTGACAGCAAGTAATCTAAAAAAACCTGTATTCTCTTCAAGATGAGAAACTGATTCTATTCTAAATTCTCCATCAGGATATACAGTTTGATCTTCAGACCTTATAAAAATAATGGCAAACATTTTTCTATCGTCATGCCTGGCCACATACAACAGCTAGATTTATTTTGCCATAGATAAAGTAAACAGGCAAAACCTCCCGTTTCAAACCAAACTAATGGAGAAATACAAAGTCTTACTAATTGGTTCAAATGGTTTAGATAAAGTGGTCTTCATGTTTAATCTTATAAAATGCCTGTGACAACACATTTCTAGCCCAGGCCGCCAAAGATTAGTGATGGGATTGAGCACCCCCTTGGCTAACATCCTAAAGGCCTCCTGTGTGGTCTACTTTAACAAGGACCCAGAAAAAGAGGAGTGAGCTGGGCTACAGGAGCAATGTAAGTATAGGTGACAGGCCAGTTAATAATAGCTTTACACAGCGATCTGCCATCAAGGAGACCCAACAAGGCCAGTCAGCCCTAAATGGCATTGGTTTTTGATGTGGAAAGCCAGGGCTTTGGACAGATGGCAATCATGGCAGAAGCCAGTCTCCAAAGAGCCCTATCAGCTCTGCCAGCCCAGAGCTGGGTCACTGGAAATGGAACTGCCCTGGCGTCGAAGGACTCCTAGGTCAGAACCGCAGAACTTGTTGGCTCTAAACTGAAAAGCCCTTCACTCTGCCCAGCTTCCAAACTGACCACTGCCATCAGGGGGACAGCCTAGGGTCAGGAACATTGCAGACAGAGCTGTAGATTTGCTTTTACAGATCCTGCCTATTCTATACTGACTTCTTATTCAGGCCAGCTCTGCTTCCAGGCCAGCTAGGAACTGAGAGTCAACAGGGTGCCTGCCCTAAGGAGGTTCACACCTGTACCCCATGTAATTATCAAGCCCCTCCTGTCAGTTTGTTTGCCTCTAAATTAAAACAAAAACAAAACTCCCTCCTGGTTCTGACAGCACCTTTCATAGGTCCTCTAATAATGACTCTGTCCTTTGTTTTAGACCCTGTGTATTTAATCTGCTTGTTAGATTTATTTTCTCAGATTTAAAGCATACATGGCCATGCACATAAAGCCTTGGATGAAAGCAGTTTCTGCAAACTGACACGCAGCCTCCTCAAGAGGCCACCTTCTGTTTTGACAGCCATTCCCCACTCCACATCCTAAGGGGCCCCCAAATTAACGACCCCCTGTCAGCAGGAAGTAGTCAAGATGAGATTGACAACCTGAGTCCTTACAATAGTAGGGTGCGGATTAAAAGAGGGAGATGGCTGAGGCCCTCTGGTTGGGCTGTCTGTTGGCCCCTCAGGCTTTAACAGAATGTCTTATACATACAGGCTGTAAGCTGTGAACAAAAGATTTACTGAGACCTGGTCTCAACTCTTCATCACTGCGATATCCTATACCCAAAACTAGCAACAGTGGGGCTGGGTCCACCAAAGCAAACACCAGCTTTTAGCACCTCCCGTTCCAGTTGTCACCAAAAGGCCCCATGGTAGTTCGGGTCCTAGTTGGGTTCAGTGTGTCAGGCACTGCTGCCCTCAGCACAGCAGCCTGGGTTCTGGGTGAGCTAAGTGCTTCCCATATGCCTGCATCAGCCAACTCCGATCTGCTGATCTGTTACACAGCCAGGTAGAGTCTCTTAAAGGGGTTGTCCTGACTGTAGGCCCCTGAATTCTCAACCAGTTACTAAATTTCATTAGACAAAGTACAGCTTCTGGTAAACTCATGTAGATACATACCTATTACTCTGTTCTAAATATACTTCCTGATCCATATGATGTGGCTGAATCAAGGATTTGATTATTGTCAAAACACAAAATGGGGAATGAAGTAACACCTTGACAGTAGGGACTCCATTTTGGAGCACCTGAGACTCCATCTTGAGAAAGTACTACCCCCACCTCCACCCCCATGAGACTCTGGTCTGAAGCTATGATCTAAAACTCTCTGACAATAGCAATCCGCTCCATCACACCTGGCAACCTGCCTCACACTTGGCAGAGCATAGAAACCCCCTAGCATGATTGCTCAAGCTTGCAAGCAGATAGGCTGCACCTGGGTTCATGATAAAAATGTAATTTGTCTATGTCCTACCTATGGTTTAAGCAAATACCTGGATTAATGTTGAGATTATAATTGAAATTGTTAAGATTGTAAGTGGTATTGTCAAGATTATAATTGATATTAGTTTCCCATAGGTTTTAGGTCAGCTTGACCTCGGTAACCATGTATTCTCCCCTGATCCTAGCAACCATGTGTTCCCCTCCCGATTTTGTGGCTTTTGGCTTCATAAACCCTGTTGCTTTGAGCTTCAGGGTTGAGAGTTCTTTAGGGCATGAGCCCACTCTCCACCGCGGGCAATAAAGGACCATCAAATTTTATCAATGTGTGGTGCTCCTTTGTTCACACTCAGGTACAACAAATTCACCAATTTTTTTTTTAAAAAATTAAGGAGTAGTGGAATTTTGGTTGATTTATTTTTTCCCTTGTACCTTTTTATTTTCCAATTTTCTGTTATATTCATGTGTTTGTTTCATAAGAAATATGTCCCTGAGGACATACGCACATGGACATTCCCACTCCAGATGGTAGACTGAGATTATGCATTTGTATCCTATTCTCTTCCAAAATTCCACTGGAAATAAAAATGTGACTAACATCATAATAGTGTTAGAAGAAAAGAAAGGAGCTACCAGTAAGTACTTAGTAGAGGTTAAGCAGATGGCTCCTGTTTCTAGACACCAGAGCAAAAGATGCCTGATATGAATACACATCCTGGGAAGACACTACAAAAATGAGTCATTTTTCCCCACAGAAACTCCAGTTCAGTAAGTAACACGAAGAGTGCAAATGGGAATTGGGACGCCGGATGGAATAAGAATGTTAATAGAAAACAAGTCTGTGGGAGTACTGAAGTAAAATATAGGAAAATTATTTTGTAAGTTGGGGCTAGACAAGGGGAAAAAAGCATAAACTCAGAAGGCATAAACTGTTGATTTGATTGCATTCCAAAAAATTATAAACTTTAGTAAGAAATATTTTAATTAAGCACAGTAGAATGATATGTAACAGGCCAAGAGAAGATAATTTTGCCTGCAGAATTGTCCATTAGTAATTAGTCATAATATTTAGCATTTTATAAGCCAGTTTGAATAGGACTAGGAAAAATGGATGAAGAAATGGACAATTTACAGATAAATAAATACAGATAACAAAAATGTCTGAAAATATGTGAAATTTCACCAGTTTTCAGGGAAAGGCAAATTGAAAGTGAGTATCACTATTTAACATTCTTTTTTTATTAAATTTATTTAATGTCTCTACACATTAAATAAGAATCTGGGCTTGGTTAGGGTGTGGGGACACAGGCATTCTCATACATCATGGAGTGAAAGTGGATGTCTTTTAGTGTTGACAGTTGGGAAGCAGCTGTCATGCCTTTTGCTCGCTATTTCACATCTAAGAACCATCATGTAGAAATACTGACATTTGTTCAGAAAGAAGTTTCACTGAAGCTTGTTTGTAAAAGCAGAAACTACTTAAATGCACATCTATTCCATTGATTGTGGTGTAGTCATACAATACAATTTTATGAGGCTGAGAAAAAGAATGGAGTTATAATTCTATTTACTGCTAGGGAAAGATCTCCAGGGTGTGATAAGTGAAAAAATGTTATAGAATCATTTCATTGAGGTTCCATTTATGATTATATAATTGTATGTGTGTGTGCATGGGTGTGATAGGCATGCATGTGTCATCAGATGGAAATGCATAGAGGGTTGGATCTTGACAGATACGCATCAAAGTGTTTACAGTGGTTACCTCTGTAGGGTAAAGGCATGAGGGAGTCGCCCATGGTTTTTGTTTTGTTTTGTGTTTAAAGATTAATTTGAAAGGCAGAGTTACAGAGAGGCAGAGAGAGAGAGAAATCTTCCATCTGCTGGTTCACTCCCCAGATGGCCAAAACAGCAGGAGCTGGGCCGATCCGAAGCCAGGAGCCAGGAGCTTCTTCCAGGTCTCTCACATGGATGCATGGGCCCAAGAACTTGGTCCATTCTCAACTGCTTTCCCAGGTGCATTAGCAGGGAGCTGGATTGGAAGTGGAATAGCCAGGACTCAAACTGACAGCCATATGGGATGCTGGCACTGCAGGTGATGGCTTTGCTTGCTACCCCACAGCACTGGCCCCTCCCCATGTTTTGATACATGAATCTGTTATTTGACTTTCTACATGTCATTCATCATTTTGTGACATTAAAAACAACAAAAAAGTTTAAAATGTGCACCTTTTCTAGTTAAGACTCATTTTTTTAAAACTTTTATTTAGTAAATATAAATTTCAAAAGTACAGTTTATGGATTACAATGGCTTTCCCCCCTATAACTTCCCTCCCACTCGCACCCCTCCCATCTCCTGCTCCCTCTCCTATTCCATTCACATCAAGATTCATTTCCAATTATCTTTATATACAGAAGATTGATTTAGTATATATTAAGTAAAGATTTCATCAGTTTGCACCCACACAGAACATAAAGTGTAAAATACTGTTTCAGTACTAGTTAAAGCATTAATTCACATTGGACAACACATTAAGGAGAGATCCCACATGAGGAGTAAGTACACAGTGACTCCTGTTGTTGACTTAACAATCTGACACTCTTGTTTAAGGCGTCAGAAATCTCCCCAGGCTCTAGTCATGAGTTGCCAAGGATATGGAAGCCTTTTGAGTTCGCAGACATCGATCTTATTTAGACAAGATCATAGCCAAAGTGGAAGTTCTCTCCTCCCTTCAGAGAAAGGTACCTCCTTCTTTGATGGCCAGTTCTTTCTACTGGGATCTCACTCACAGAGATCTTTCATTTAGGTGTTTGTTTTTTTTTTTTTTTTTTTTTTTTTTTTTTTTTTTTTGCCAGAGTGTCTTGGCTTTCCATGCCTAAAATACTCTCATGGGCTCTTCAGCCAGGTCCAAATGCCTTCAGGGCTGATTCTGAGGGCAGAGAGCTCTTTAGGACATCTGCCATTCTATGAGTCTGCTGTGTATCCCACTTCCCATGATGCATCGTTCTCTCCCTTTTTGATTCTATCAGTTAGTATTAGCAGACACTAGTCTTGTTTGTGTGATCCCTTTGACTCTTAGACCTATCAGTGTGATCGATTGTGAACTGAAATTGATCACTTGGACTAGTGAGATGGCATTGGTACATGCCACCTTGATGGGATTGTATTGGATTCCCCTGGCACATTTCTAACTCCACCATTTGGGGCAAGTCCGATTGAGCATGTCCCAAACTGTACATCTCCTCCCTCTCTTATTCCCACTCTCATATTTAACAGGGATCACTTTTCAGTTAAATTTAAACACCTAAGAATAATTGTGTGTTAATTACAGAGTTCAACTAATAGTATTAACTAGAGCAAAAATAATACTAAAAGGGATAAAGTGTTAAATTGTACATCAACAGTCAGGACAAGGGCTTATCAAGTCACTGTTTCTCATAGTGTCCCTTTCACTTCAACAGGTTTCCTTTTTTGTGCTTGGTTATCACCGATCAGGGAGAACATATGATATTTGTCCCTTTGGGACTGGCTTAATTCACTCAGCATGATGTTTTCCAGATTCCTCCATTTTTAAGAGTGTATTGTCTCTAGGTCTTTGAGAAACAGTAGAAGTCCAACCACCACCAATGGAGTAGTATGTAGTCATTTTTATGAAATTGTGTTGAAAATAGATTAGTTTTACCAAATTGTATTATTTTGGCAGAAGAGATTATAAGATCCTGGGGGAGGAACATGATTAGTGTCAAGATAGAGTTGCTGCTGTTCCACAACAAGAGAAAAGCGGTGTTAGCTGGAACGACAGCAGTAGGAAATGCGTGCGTTTCAGTGGGATGAAAACTGCCTCTGAATAATCCAAGTTGAGGGAGCCAAAGGACATTTGTGGTATCATCTTGTTGGGGAAAGTAACCAGGCACTAAAGAAATGCAAGAGTTTCAGGAAACAGAAACTATAGGAGGACAGCGATAGGACTGGGTGTACCACTGGAATTCCTTATGTGCTACATTTCCCAGGATGGCTGGGCAGGACACTGACCACGCTTCACTCTCTCTTTCTCCAAAGGGATAAAAGGATGTATTGTTCTGTGCTGGTTCTTGCTCTCCTATTTATTCCAAGATCATTAGCACTTCAAAAAAACTTTGTTTCTGAATAATCATAGCATGAGTGGCACGATAATGAATTTATGTAGATTTGACCCAGATTGTTGTGCCAAGGTTGGTTAAATTGTGTTGGAGGAGAGTTCAGATACAGCCAATGTCTCATGGCCAGGTCAGTTTTCTCCCCTTTTCATTTTCCCCTTCTTTACTGTGACTTCTTTTCCATTTTGATTTCATCTTTCATTGGTGGAAATACTACTAGAGAAGGGTGTTAACTGCTTATTTAGCTATAGAAACAGTTGGTGGTACATATGTGATCAGAGTGAAGAACAAGAGAGCCTTCCTCCAAGCCCTCTAAGTTTTATTGACATGTTATTTACATGCTATACAATCCATCTATTATAAATGTCCAGTCTTGGACAGGCGCTGTGGCATAGTGGGTAAAGCTGCCCCATGTAGTGCCGGCATCCCGTATGGGTGCCAGTTCGAGTCCCAGCTGCTCCACTTTTAATACAGCTCTTTGCTATGGCCTGGGAAAGCAGTAGAAAATGGCCCCAAGTCCTTGGGCCCCTGTACCTGCATAGGAAACCTGGAAGAAGTTCCTGGCTCCTGGCTTCCGATTGGCACAGCCCTGTCCATTGCAGCCAAATGGGGGAGTGAACCAGCGGATGGAAGCGCTCTCTCTCTTTCTCTCTCTCTCTCTCTCTGCTTCTTCCTCTCTGTAACTGCCTTTCAAATAAATAAATAAATCTTTAAAAAATGTCCAGTCTGGGTTTTAGTAAATTTAAATCCTTGTGCAGTTATACATTGCTCTAATTCAGTTTTAGAATATTTCTGTTGTTCCTATAAGTTCTTTTGGGAGCATTTTAAGCCAAGTATTTTGCCTGTCTTTCTTGGAGAGAGGAAATAACAAAATGGTATAAATTCTGGCCCCAAACACATGTGATAACGAACATGTGAGTTGATACTCCTCAAGGATTTTTTCCCACATTTAATTTTTCATTTACATCTAAAGATGAAGAAATGTATCCACTTTCTATCACCCAGCCCTCACTTCCCACCTGAGCCTTCTGCGAGTGCAGCCTCTCTGGAGTTCTGGCTTTTCATGGATGTTTTCCAGTAAATCCTCTTGGGTTCTACAGGCTGTTGTAACTTGGATGTGTCACTCCAAATATTTATGTATTAGAAACAATCCCCAAGATTGATGGTATTTTGGGGGTTTGCCTTTGGGAAGTGCTTAGAGTTAGATGAGGTCATTAGGGTGGGGCCCTGTGATGGGTGGGATTAGCGGCTTTATAACAGAGTGAGAAAGATCTGAGCACACACTTTCCCTTGCTCTTGCAATGTTTTACCCTCTGCCATGGAAGGATGCAGGCAAGATTGCTCTCTTCAGATGCCTGCACCAGGCTCTTGTACTGCCCAGAGTCCAGCCTGTGAAAATTAAATATCTTTTCTTTTCAACTTGCCCAAGGCTGTGGCATTCTATTATAATGGCAGAAAACAGAGACACAGACACAGCTTCATGTTTTTGTCTATTTTCCCCATTGAGCACCTGGGAGGGTCCATCCACCCCTCTGCCCATCTCCCAACAAGCACCAGCACAAGGTGGACTTAACTCTCAGGATTTTTACTTTCTCATCATCTACGTGCAGACCTTACTCTCTTTCCCAATGGTTCAGCCAAGTATTTTGAAATATTAAAGATTTTTTTATCAGTAATTTTTAGATTTATACTGAAAGACTATGCTGAACGTCTAGTCACCCACATATAAGAAATGGGAGCCATCATATTTATCTTTGTATATGTTTTCTTTGAGTGTCTTTTAAAAACTTATGTGTTTGGGGTACCAGCACTGTGGTATAGTAGGCTAGGCCTCTGCCTGTGGTGCCAGCATCCCATATGGGCACCAGTTTGTCCCGGGTGCTTCACTTTTTTTTTTTTTTAAAACATTTATTTATTTATTTGAAAGGCAGAGCTACAGAGAGGCAGAGGTAGAGAGAGAGACAGAGAGAAGGGCTGCTTCACTTCTGATCCAGCTCCCTGCTTGTGGCCTGGGAAAGCAATAGAAGATGACCCAAGTGCTTGGGTCCTTGTACCTGTGTGGGAGACCCAGGAGAAGCTCCTGGCTCCTGCTTTTAGATTGGCCCAGCTCCAGCTGTTGCAGGCATTTGGGGAGTGAATCAGTGGATGGAGGACCTTTCTTTCTATCTCTTCCTTTCTCTCTCTGTAACTCTGCCTTTCAAATAAATAAAATCTTTTAAACATTATTTGAGTGAGAGAGACAGACACACGTACACACACGGAGAGAAAGAGAGAGACAGAGAAAGATGGAGAGAGAGCAAGCTTTCATTTGCTAGTTTACTTTGCAAATTCCCACAACAACTGAGGCCAGGCCAGGTCAAAGCTAAGAGCCCAGAACTCAATCCAGGTCTCCTAATATGGGTAGCAAAGACCCAACTACATGAGCCACCACTGCTACATCCTGTCTTGCGCATTCACAGGAAGTTGGAGTCAGGAACTGGAGCCTAGTAACAAACCCAGGCACTCTAGTGTGGAACACTGTGTCTTAACTGCTAGGCAACTACTTGTCCCTTTCTTGCATTTTTAAGAACATTTATCACATTCCAGGAGTCTCCAGGCTGGCGGTACATGGAAGGCATCTATGTGTATGGCTACACCACAGTGCACAAAGCAAAGTGTATATGCAGGCTTCTATGGAGAGACACGGAATGCGATCATTTCAAGAGAACTGATTTCCGGGTCTTCACCGTGTACTCTTTCCTAAAACCGATCTTCCCTTGGAACAGCCCAGTGTGGTCTGATTCTCTGTTCTCAGCCTTCTCATCATCATCCTGTCCTTTTCAGCAAAACGTGGGAGTACTTCCTGAGTCTTACTTCTGTTCTGCCCATGGATACAAAAACCGGGGTGACATTGACTAATTATAGAATGGAGAGCTCCTGAGGAGGAGATCCATAGGACAGAAGTGAAACTAGCCAGAAAGATGGGAAGGGCCTTTTTCATCCTGCTGGTGTTGTGCCCACATCGTTAGATCCCCAAACGCCGCCAGAGACTCGAACACACCGAAATGCAAAAGCAAGGTTTATTTCGGAAGTACAAGCCGCGTCAGGGACCCCGTCTAACCAACCGCGCAGCAGAAGGCAGAGGAAGACCCCGAGCCGTGCTTGGGAGCCTCTTTTAAAGCCGGGTTAAGTCATCGAGGGGTGCGGGGTAACAGTGGATTTTCTAGGGTCGCCTCTGGTGCTTCCTGATGGAATGCGGTTGTTCCTGATTGGTTCAGGCCCAGGGGATTTCCTTATATGATGACCGCTAACAAGCTGCTCTGTTGTAAGTTTCAGTTTCCCCTGAGTGGCGCTGCTTTTATGGGAAGTCGGGCCTGCCTCCCCGAATGGAGGCACTTTTTCAAAATGTAGTTACTCTGGCCCTTCACTAGGAGACCCGCAACAAAACTTTCTACTGTTTCTGTCCTTCTTAGTGCTGCAATGTAGGAGTGAAATTCCTGTTGCACAAATGCATGTTTAATACTTCCATTTTCTTTTAAAAGATTTATTTTATTTATTTGAAAGAGAGTTAAAGAGAGAGGTAGAGACAGAGAGAGAGGTCTTCCATCTGCTGGTTCACTCCCCAGATGGCCTCAATGGCCGGAGCTGCGCCGATCCAAAGCCAGGAGCCAGGAGCTTCTTCCAGGTCTCTCACATGGGTGCAGGGGCCCAAGAACTTGGGCCATCTTCTACGGCTATCCCAGGCCACAGCTGAGAGCTAGATCAGAAGAGGAGCAGCCGGGACTAGAACCAGTGCCCATATGGGATGCTGGCGCTTCAGGCCAGGGTGTTAACCCACTGCGCCATAGCGCTGGCCCCATAATACTTTCATTTTCAAGAGTAGGTCAGACTTCTTCTAACAGCAAGTGTGTGTTTGGGGTCTTGACTTTGATGTAAAAGACTGATTTTGTCCTATAATTTACATGGCACCTTTCTCCATCAGTTCAATATGCTAAATTTGTAGCTTCAAGGGGATGATGAAAAACATTTTAAGTGCGTTGGAATTTGCATCTTTTCAATTCCTTACATTTGTGATTTGAAAAACTGCAGGTGTCACATTAAAAATGTGGGGAGATAAGTGATATTGAAAGCTAGGGATTATTCAAACAAATCTGAAAACCATTGATGTGTATTGTTTTTTCTTTATTGTTTCTGTTTTTCTATTTTCTTGCTTGTTTTAGGGTTTTGTCATTTTGGTAATTTTCATAATAGAGTTTGGAAATCACAGCTCTTAATTTGTGAAACTTGTATTACTTGTTTTTCCTAGCTGTAAATTATAGAAAATAAGGAGAGGGACTACCCAGTTGCCAAGTACATTAGAGCTGTGATTGGAAATTAGTTTTGAGAGCAAAGAGCCCTTAAGGATTTGGATCAGCTTCATGAAAATGATATGTACAAAGTGCCCATTTTAGCGTTATCTGTAATGGCTCAGAATTGGATCAGCTATCCAGATAATTCATAGTGTAGTCCCACAGTAGAATATTATATAGCAAAGAAATGTAGTGAACTGCTGCTACAGCAATTTGTGGTTGACTCAGAAAAATGATGCTGGACAAAATGACAAATATAAGTGTATCCTGTGTGCTTCTACTTACATAAAATTCAGAAAAGGCAATACCATTCTGTGTGATGAAAGTTAGAGCACTGGGTACCCCTAGAGAGTCATGACTGAGAGGGAGCACAATGACAGTTCAGAGGTATGGCCCAAGGACTCTATCTGGACCTGGCTGTCATCACATACTTGTGTTCACTGTGCTGTGCATGCTTGTGCCCGCTTTGCTGAAGGTGTATGTCCTGTTTCAGTGAAATGTTTACTTAAAGAAGGACTTTGGAGGACTGGCATGATGGCACAGTGGCCTAAGCTACTGCTTCTGTTGTTGGCGTCCTATAACAGTGTGATTGGTGTCCTGGCTGCTCTGCTTCCAGTCCAGCTCCCTGATAATGTACCTGGGAAAGCAGCAGATAATGGCCCAAGTATTGGGCCTCTGTCACTCATGTGAGAGACCCAGGAGGAGTTCCAGGCTCCTGGCTTTGGTCTGGCCCAGCACTGGCTATTGTAGCCATTTGGAGAGTGAACTAGTAGATGGAAGATGTCTCTCTCTCACTGTGGCTTTCAAATAAATAAATAAATAAAGTTGTGCTTCCTGTCACCTAAAGAAAACCACAGCAACTGTTTTGTGGGAAGTATTTTTTTGGCCAGGTAGAGTTATAGACAGTGAGAAAGAGAGAGACAGAGAGCAAGGTCTTCCTTCCATTGGTTCACTCCCCAATTGGCTGTTCTGGCTGGCGCTGCGCCGATCCGAAGCCAGGAGCCAGGTGCTTCTTCTTGGTCTCCCATGCGGGTGCAGGTGCCCAAGCACTTGGGCCATCCTCCACTGCCCTCCTGGGCCACAGCAGAGAGCTGGACTGGAAGAGGAACAACCAGGACTAGAAGCCGGTGCCCATATGGAATGCCGGCGCCACAGGCGGAGGATTAACCAAGTGAGCCATGGTGCTGGCCCCTTGTGGGAAGTATTTTTTTCAGCTATTTTTAATGGTGTTGATTGAACATGTTGATGATTTTTAGGTGAACACTTTGTCACTGAGAACATTACTTAGCTTTGGCCTGTACAGACAGGCCTGACAGAGGCAGGCACGACAGGGCCATGTGGTGAGTTTAATAGCGGGGGATCACTATGTAACAAGCTTTCACTTGCGCTTTGATTCTTACAGTATCTCTCATTTCTGGCAGGGTGGAGGCAGGATATAATTCTAGGTCTATGGGAGGAATTTCTTGTCTAATTGCAAACACCTGTGCTTGGCACAGATCCTGTGAAACTTTCCCATGGGCCCTGAGACACACCTGCGTGCTATGGACCACACCCCCTTGTGGGGGTGCAGGGAACTCCCAGCCAATGCACACAGCACATGGAACCCTTTCCCCAGTGCCCACCTGCACCAGGGGTCAACAACTCCACACCCCAAGCTTCTACCCCTACCTTTACCCCAGTTCTTCATTCTCCCCACCCACCCCAGGAAAGCACCCTCCCTCCCCCCATATGCAACATGAGCCATGGGTGTTAAGACAGGCAGTCTCTTGCTTTTGGACTTTATTGACTGCTGAAAAGTTCAACGGCTGTGTTCTTAAGATAGAGTTATTCACAGAAAGTTTCCGTATCATCACATTTATGGTATGTGTTTTGCATATACCATGCCACAGTGTTGTCTTTACGATTTGAACAGATGATGGTAGCAATAACTTCTAGAGAATCACCTCTTTGGATCTGTTGCACAGAAAGGACTGTCTGCCCCAGAGTGAGGCCACTGACACCTGTCCTGGGCCTGGATCAGCTGCCAGTGCACCTGATTTGTCTCTGACATTGTGCAGACTTTGTCATCCCCACCCATGTGCCACTCCTGGCTTGGTTTGGAGCCCATTCTGTTCTCTCCTGAAACATGCCTGTTCCTGAGGAGCCGGTGCTGGCATGGGTGGGGAAGAAGAGGAGAGAGCCCCACAGAACAATTGCCTTGAGGCTTGGCTTGGCAGAAACCTAGAAGGAAACTGGCTGTGTTTGGAGGTTGACAGGCAGCATCATCATGTAAGAGCACCCCATCCTCATTTGCCTGCTGTTGTGTTCATCATTCAAGGGAGGCTCAGGTGAGTGAGTGTATACTGTGGAAACTGCAGGTGAGGGGCCTGTGTTGTGATGCAGTGGGTTAAGCCGGCACCTGTGATGTTGGCATCCCAGTTTGCTGCTCTACCTCCCTGTTCTACTGATCCACCTCCCTGCTAATGCACATGGGAAGGCAGCAGAATGTAGTCCATGTACCTGAGCCCCTGTTAGCCAGGATGGAGTTTTTGGCTCCTGGCTTCTACCTTATGCAGCCGCAGCCATTGAAGCCACTTGGGGAGTGAAGCATTATATGAAGGATTCTCTCTCTCTCTCTCTCTCTCTCTCCTTCCCCCTCTCTCTGTTTATGCCGCTCTCCATGTCACCTTAACTTTCAAAAAAAAATCTTTAAAAAAGAAAAAGAGAGCTGGTGTTGTGGTATAGTGGATAAGGCCCCTGCCTACAATGCCAGCATGCCATATAGGCACCAGTTCATGACATGGCTGCTCCACTTCCAATCTAGTCCCCCACTAAGGGCCTGGGAAAAGCAGCGAAAGATGGTCCAGGTGTTTGGACCCCTGCATCCAAGTGGGAGACCCAGAAGAAGCTTCTGGCTCTTGGCTTTGGCCTGGCCCAGCCATGGCCATTGTGGCCATTTGAGGGACTGAACCAAGGGATGGAAGATTCTCTCTCTCTCTCTTTATCTCTCTCTGTCTCTGTAACTCTGCCTTTAAAATATATAATTAAATATTTTTAAAAAAGAAAAAATTGAATGAAAAAGAAATTGCACGTAAGTGAAATTCACAAGTAGGAAAGCCGAGGAAGTGATGTAGTACAGTTTGACTTGAGTTTAGATGATGTTAGATACGGGAAACATTTTGGAAATCCAGTAAATCCAGAAGTTTTCTGTTTTTGTAGAAGTAACTTGAGAGACGTGGGGCACTCACCACCAAGTTAACTGGATCGGTTGTGCTTTGCATGTTTTCTGTCTTGGGAAATAGCATACGTTGTGAGTTTAGCTCCTGGAACCAGCATGAGGTGGATTGAGGGTGGAGCACCTCTCACTTGAATCTACTTCTACCCCTGTTGGTGTGCTGACCCCTATTGGTCTGACACTGGGTGAGCAGTCACTTGACCTCTTCGAGCTTCAGTTGTCTGATCTGTAAAGTGGGCATAAGAACATGTAACTCTTTTGGTTGTTCTATGGAGTAAATGATAGCACTGAAAAATACTCATGACTCATACTTACTGAGTACTTTCTGAGTTCTTTATTTTATTTTAAAGATTTATTTATTTATTTGAGAGGCAGAGTTACAGTTGCACCAGCAGAAATATCATTCCCAAATTAAAAATTATCTGCAGAAGTGTTACTTTCAATTATATTGATTGAAAATAAAATAGCTAAAATTATATATTTTAGTGATATAACAGATGAATTTCCAAGAAAAGGAAAATGTTATGATCTATCATGTTGTCACTCTAATAGATTATTAGTTATTATATTATATAAATTTATAAAAATTTTGTAGGATTTGGTAATTCTTAAGTAGTTGTTACCCAATATATTAGAATGCTTGCTTATAGATTTCAAACTAATACAATGTTTTAAAAAAAGATTTATTTATTTATTTGAAAGGCAGAGTTACAGAATGAGAAGGAGAGACAGAGAGAGAGAGAAATCTTCCATCTGCTGGTTCACCCTCCAGATGGTCACAATGGCCAAGGCTGTGGCAGACTGAAGCCAGGAACCAGGAGCCAGGAGCCAGGAGCTTCATTAAGGTCTCTCTTTGGGTGAAAAGGGCCCAACCACTGGAGCCATCTTTAGCTGCTTCCACAGGCTTTAGCAGGAGCTATATCAGAGGTGGAGCATCTGGGAAATGAGCTAGGACCCATAGGGATGCCAGCGTCACAGGCAGTGACAACCTGCTATGCCATGCTAGCCCTGCTAACACAATTTTTTCAAAAAAGATTTATGTATTGGGGCAGGTGCTATAGCGTGGCAGATAAGGCTGCTGCCTACAGTGCTGGCATCCCCTATGGGTGCCGGTTCAAGTCCTGGTTCTTCCTCTTCTGATCCAGCTTTCTGCTTATGGCCTGGGAAAGCAGTAGAAGACTGCTTAAGTCCCTGGCCCCTGCATCAGCATGGGAGACATGGAAGAAGATCCTGGCTCCTGGCTTTGGATAGGCCCAGCTCTGGCTGTAGCAGCCATCTGGGGAGTGAATCAGTGGATGGAAGACTTCTCTCTCTCTGCCTCTGCTTCTCTGTAACTCTGCCTTTCAAATAATAAATTGAAAATCAGAGTTACAGAGAGAGAGAGAGAGAGAGAGAGAGATCTTCCATCTGCTGGTTTACTCCCAGATGGCTGCAATGGCCAGGCTGGAATCAGAAATCAGGAGCCTCTTCCTGGTCTCCCACATGGATACAGGGCCCAAGGACTTGGGCCATCTTCTGCTGCTTTCCCAGGTGCATTACCAGGGAGCTGGATTGGAAGTGGAGCAGCCAGGACCCGCTACGCCACAACGTCGGCCCCAGTTAATACACTTTTTTAAATTAAAAAAAAACTTTTATATTTCAGCTGACGCTGTGGTATAGCGGGTAAAGCTGCCATCTGCAGTCCTGGCATCCCATATGGGTGCTGGTTCAAGTCCCAGCTGCTCCACTTCTGATGCAGCTCTCTGCTATGACCTGGGAAAGCAGTAGAAAATGGCCAAAGTCCTGGAGCCCCTGGAGATCCCAAAGAAGCACCTGGCTTGGGATTGGTGCAGCTCCAGTGGTTGTGCCATCTGGGGAGTGGACTAGTAGATGAAAGACCTCTCTCTCTCTCTCTCTCTCTCATTCTTTCACTTCCTCTTTCTGTGACTCTGCCTTTCAAATAATAAATAAATGAATTTTTTTTAAAAAAAACAGCTTTATATTTAAGACAGTTTATGGCAGTTTTTTCTTTTTCTTTTTGTAAAAAAATATTTATTTGAGAAACAGATTAAGAGGTGAGCTCTTATCCACTGGCTGATTCCCCCAATTGCCTACAATGATTGAGGTTGGATTGGTGTAGACCAGCCCTGGGAGCTGGGAGCTCAATCCAGTTCTGTCTCCCAGGTGGGTGGCAGGAACCCACGTACTTGAGCCATGACTGCTGCCTCCTAGGGTTTGCATTAACAGGAAGCTGGAGTCAGAAGCAGGAGACAGAGCTGGGTATTGAACTCAGGTACTTTTGATGCAGTGCTCCAGTGTCTTAACTGCCAGGCCAGATGCTAAGCTCTTTTCTGCCTTTTGGAAAGAGGGCTCATGTTTTATTTTGCACTGGTCCCTGCACCTTTGTCCTGGCTCTGCACAGCTCTTCTCTCTGCCTCTAAGGTTCTTCTTCCCTGGGAGGCATTTTGAAGCTAATGAGAACCATAGCACCCTAGGAATCCAGCTCCTTCTCCTCACCCTGTGGTGCTTGCTAGAGGCAGCTCGTCTTCATTTCAAGAAGAAATCGTGTAAGACTCATGCTTTCCTTTCCCCACTATCTTTTTGATTTGCCACTGACTCAATTTTTGCCTGTCACCCATGTGGTCCAGGTTGGAAGGGAGGTCGTCAAGGACCCAATGCTTTCATCCCAGATGCACTCAACAGACCATGCTCAGCACTTTGTATCAGCAGTAGCACCCAGAACAGAACTTTCTCCACAGGGTGCTGCTGAAAGATTTGGTGGATAGGAGGGAAGATAACCCCCATCATGTCACACAGAGCAGAAACACCATCAAGTCTTAAGTGTTGTCCTCCTGAAAGTTCCTTTTCTCTCCAGCTAGCTTAACACAGTGTCCTTTCTCCGTGCAGTCCCTTGAAATTCTTCTAGTGTCCTGACAACCCAGATCCTGCCCCTGGCTCGCACACCTGAGTCGACCCAAGGCCAGTCATGAGCCAGGGAACCCCTGCTCTTCAGTTTTGCTTTCCTGTGCAGAGAGAAGTTCCTACCCTCTCTCCCAGAAAAAAGCCATATTGCACCCTAAGGCATCATTCTTCGAAGGGAAGCTGCTTACCTTCCACTGTTTGTATTCCAAATTCTACAGTTATTTTTCTATTCTCTTACTGAGCTCTATTTGTGAGTCAAAAGTATATTTAGTAACTGTACAAATATTTATGCTTTGCATGTGGTTCACAATAAAGATTTATTGCAAAAACGAACCCCACACAATTCTATCACTCCCAAATACTTTCAGGATTGGTAGGGATCCAGATGATTTAGTCAGTAACCTCCTTTCATTTTCAGAAATGGAAAACTCCATTAACACTCAAAGCAGTCATTTTTATCTCAGGCAGCTGTTGTTATTAGAAAATTCTCTCTTATGTTAAGCCAAAATCTGTCTGTTTCTCAGCATTAAGGGAAAAAAAAGAATTATTTTTAAAAATGAACTCAGGCGAAAGGAAGTGCTCTTATTTTTCAAAGCTCTTGGAAGGTTCCAGCTGTCTCAGAGACAGCACCCACTTCTGTCTTATCAGCTTTTGCTGTTTTTAAAATGCATTTGATTTTAAAATGACTCATCATTAAATATTGTTTTCATATATTTTAATATCTACCAGTTTTTAAAAAATATTTATTTATTGGAAAGGCAGAGTGACAGAGAGAGGTGGAAAGAGAAAGGGAGAGAGAGAGAGAGAGAGAGAAATCTCATTTACTAGTTCACTCTCCAAATGCCCACAAAAACCAGGGCATGGCCAGTTGAGTCATTCTTTGCTGCCTTTCCAGGATTATTAGCAGGGAGCTGGATTGGAAGAGGGGCATTCAGGACTTAAACCGGTCCTTTGATATGTAGATGTTGCAAGCTATGGCTTAACCCACCATGCCACAACACTGGCCCATTGACTGTGTGTGTGTGTTAGATTAGAAGGACTTTTATAGGATCCCAGTCACTTCATATTTCAGTATTATTCTGTTATGAACTTTAGTTCCCAAGACTGACATGCCCAAATGCATCTTACTGCCCCACACTGAATGCCCATGACATATTTTAAGTATAGAGTGCTAGAAAACAAGGTGGTGGCTACCTATCAAAAGTGTTGTCATAAACAGGTGCTTTTTTTTTTTTTTTAAAGATTTTATTTACTTACTTGAGAGGTAGAGTTAGAGAGAGAGAGAGAGAAAGAGAGGGAGAGAGGTCTTCCGGATGCTGGTTCACTTCCTGTCGCTCCCCCATTCGCGGAGGAACGACACTAGACCCTGCGCTGTTCTTTCTGCCCGGCCCTTCCCGGGTTAGCTGCCGTTCCCTCACTCGCGGAGGAATGACACCATCCCGGGTTAGCTGCCGACCCCTCCACCTCCGTGGAGGGGCGGCACCCCCCGCCGCTTTCCCCGCTTCCGCGGAGGAGCGGCACACCGCCGGCTGGCTCTCTCGGGGGCTGCTCAGATGTTCCTCAGGTGTTCCCTCAGATGTTCCTGGTGCATGTTGTCTCTCTCCTCCTTTATAGTCCTCTTCCACCAATCCCAACTCTGCTGCCCACATGCCGAGCACGCTGCTCTCCTCCAATCAGGAGCAGGATCAGCTCCTGCAGTTTATTGGTCGAACTGGAGGCAGCTGTGTAGAAGTTGTTTGGTCTCTCTCTCTCAGCGCCATATTGTGGGAGAGCAGATGCATAGAATAAGTCTTAATTCCAGTAACTTAGTCTAGTCTCAGTTGCTCCCCACAACTTCCCAAATGGTCGCAATGGCCAGAGCTGAGCTGATCTGAAGCCAGGAACTAGGAGCTTCCTCCGGGTCTCCCATTCTGATGCAGGGACCCAAGTGCTTGGGCCATCCTCCACTGCTTTCCCATGCTGTAAGCAGAGAGCTGGATCCGAATAGGAGCAGCCAATCATGAACCAGTACCCATATGGGATGCCGGCACCACAGGCAGAGGCTTAGCATACTATGCCACATCTCAAGCCCTAACAGGTGCTTTTTGAGAACTTGGTGGAAAAAAGTAACAGAAGCGACCAAACTCATTCACTTTCAGACCCACTCACTTCAGCCTTGTTTTTGTCAGAGAGATTTCATGACTCTCTGTAAACATTTGGAACAAAATTATATGGTCAGTTGCCAAATAAGATCAGTCCTCCATATACGTGGGTTCCACATCCTCAGGTTCAGCCAACTGCAGACTGAAAATATTTGAAAAAAATTCCAGAAGCTTCCAAAAAACAGAACTTGAATTTTCTGTATGCCAGGTACCATGCTGAATCCATGAATGTGGAGTCATCTGGAGGCACTGCATTAGGTATTGTGAGTAATCTAGAGATGATTTAAAGTATATGGGAGCAGGTGAGTAGGTCATGTGCAAATATCATGCCATTTGATATCAGGGACTTGGTATCTGTGTGTGTATTGGGGGAATGTCCTGGAAGCAATCCCTCACAGATAACAAAGGGACATTGTACTCTGAAATTCTGAAGATTTTGAAATAGGAGGAAAAAGTGCTGTAAACACCAGAGAGACTTTAGGTTCAATTCAATACACAGGCTCAGGGGACAAGCATGGGCAGGAGCCACTCAGAGGGTGGGAGAAACAACCCCAAGTGGCTGGGGCAACATTAGGCATTCTGGTTCTGGGTGGGGCTACACTTGGCAGAAGTTATCAGAGAGAGGCCCAGACACATTGTCTCCTCAGATGCCAGCTTCGGTGCAGGGAGATCCACTCAGGGCAAGTGTGCCACCTGCTCTACTGCCCCACAGGACTGATAACTGCTCAGGAACAGCCTCCAAGTTCCTAGTGATCAGAACTCTCTCATGCCAGGAAGCCCAACGTACAGTGTCTTTCCCATCAAGTACTTAGCATTCATCCATAACTCCCCACAGTCCATCGCAAGTTGCCAACCAGGGATCTCTTTTGTCATAAGCAATGTTGCTTAGAAACACTTGCCATGTGAATTTACCTGGTTACTAGGGGAACAGAGCTAAGACGTTAACCTAGGAGAAAAATCCTCCTGCAGAAAGAGAGAACGTTTTGTTAGCCCCTCACACACATGTGTAAATATAAACGAACAGTAACGGGAGAGCAGCCTGCATCGTTTCTAATTATTATAAACCTAATGGATGAGAAGACAGAATCTACAATGTTAGGCAGGTAATAGGCAAAACCAAACCAAACCCAAAGTCTCTAATAATGATCAGAAAGCCTTGATAACTGCTTTATTATCTAGGGCTTGGTAACTGCTTTATTTATCTAGGGCTATAAATAGTTAGTATTCAGTAAATATGTAATGAGTGAATGAAAAAGTAAATGAGTAAAACATCTTCTTAGGCAAGATCATTGACAATAAGACAAGCCCAACTTCATTTACTTGAAAGGCAGAGAGAGAGAGAGAGAAAGCTTCTACCTTCTGGTTCGCTCCTCGAATGTACAAAATGGCAGAGGCTGGGCCATGTCAAAGCCAGGAGCATGGAACTCAACCTGGGTCTCTCACATAGGCGGCAAAGACCCAAGTAATTGAGACATTACAAGCTGCCTCCCAGGATGCATATCAACAGGAAGCAGGAATTAGAAGTGGATCCAGGACTTGAACCCAAGAACTCTGGTTTGGGGTGCAGGCAGCACACGTGGCTTTCACTGCTGAGCCAAACGCCCAACTCTAGAAATCACAGGCTACGTTTGTAGCTGACGGAAGTGAAAGCTGACAAACAGATCTTCTAATACACCTGAGTGTGGGATTGTGGACCTGTTGATTTAGAGAGAAACGGCCCCCGACAGCTGCCACTAGATTTCAGCTGAGGTAGACAAATCTCTGTAAATGTTCTAGAGGCATGAAGGAAAAAAACCAGTGCCCTGAATACTCCATTTAAGAAGGAAGAGATGTGTCAAACTTTTAGAAACAATTTTTACTCACAAATCTTAGGTTAAGGTAAGTTTTATTTCCTTGCAAGCATTGCTTTTTTGGCAAGTTTTATTCCTCTAATGGATCCAGATGTTTCTCCTTCTTCTTCTTTTTTTTAAAGATTTATTTATTTCGAAGGCAGAGTTACAGAGAGGCAGAGGCAGAGGCAGAGAGAGAGAGAGAGAGAGAGAGATCTTGCATCTGCTGGTTCATGTAGCAAATGGCTGCAAGGGCAGGAGCTGGGCCAATCTGAAACCAGGAACCAGAAGTTTCTTCCAGGACTCCCACATGAATGCAGGGGCCCAAGGACTTTGGCCATCTTCTACTGCTTTCCCAGGTCATAGCAGAGAGCTGGATCAGAATTGGAGCAGCTAGGGCTCGAACCTGTGCCCATATGGATGCTGGCACTGCGGGCAGTGGCTTTACCTGCTATGCCACAGTGCCAGCCCCCTCTTCTTGCTTTTCCATCTCAGTTTAAACTATGCTTTCTTAGCTTGAAGGCAGAAACATTATGTACAAAATAATAGATCTTTTGTAATGAGCTCCCCATTCTTCAGTTAACAGCATGAATACTTATGAACAAATACCTTGATATCCTTATTTATTAGACTAAAACATGATGGTAAAAACTAGAAACTTGGAGTTCAGTTTTGATTTTACCATTACTCAATAGCTCATGAACTTGATAGGGGCAAAGCCAGATTGGTGTTTGGTGATTGTAGCTCCTCCAGAACTACTCCCACCCCAGAAGGTGTCCTGGTTAGGAATGCTTGCCAAATGGCTGAGATGTTGGGTGCACATTCTTGGGAATATAAATGTTTCAGAAAGGGGGTTTCTATCATGTAGTCTGATACATCTCTGAATGAATGGTGAAAATAAGTTTTTTCTTCAACCATGGTGTATACAGTGTAATGTATACATGGTTTCCTGTGGAATAAGGGTACTAGGAATTGTTTAACATATGTGGATGCATATAAAAATGGTAAGTTACAATTTATTTTATTCAATAAGCAGGTTTAGTACTACTAAGGGCCTTGATATGATTATATAACTTCAGGAGGAAGTATTTGGCAATACAAGTAAGTCTTCACTTTGTGAAGGTAAACATTATACATTTGTGAGGTAAACATTCTTAACTATAAAATTAATGTGTATTTTGAAACCTGATATTGAAAAATTATCAGCCTATGGGGCCAACACCATGGCTCACTTGGTTAATCCTCCGCCTGTGGCGCTGGCATTCCATATGGGCGCTGGGTTCTAGTCCCAGTTGCTCCTCTTCCAGTCCAGCTCTCTGCTGTGGCCCGGGAAGGCAGTGGAGGATGACCCAAGTGCTTGGGTCCTTGTATCCACATGGGAGACCAGGAAGAAACACCTGGCTCCTGGCTTCAGATCAGCACAGTGCCAGCTGTAGCGGCCATTTGGGGAGTGAACCAGTAGAAAGAAGACCTTTCTCTCTGTCTCTCTTTCTCATTGTCTATAACTCTACCTGTCAAATAAATTTAAAAAAGAAAAAAAGAAAAATTATCAGCTTAAAACACTAATTACAAGGTCAAGTATATATCGCATAATTTTTTTAAACTAAAAAGATTTATTTACTTATTTGCAAGGCAGAGTTATAGAGAGGGAAAGACAGAGAGAGGAGAGAGAGAAATCTTTTTTTTTTTTTTTTTGACAGGCAGAGTGGACAGTGAGAGAGACAGAGAGAAAGGTCTTCCTTTGCCGTTGATTCACCCTCCGATGGCCACCGTGGTCAGCGCGCTGCGGCTGGCGCACCGCACTGATCCGATGGCAGGAGCCAGGTACTTCTCCTGGTCTCCCATGGGGTGCAGGGCCCAAGTACTTGGGCCATCCTCCACTGCACTCCCTGGCCACAGCAGAGAGCTGGTCTGGAAGAGGGGCAACTGGGACAGAATCCGGCGCCCGACCGGGACTAGAACCCAGTGTGCCGGCGCCGCAAGGCGGAGGATTAGCCTAGTGAGCCGCGGCGCCAATTGAGAAATCTTGATTTACTGATTCACTCCCCAGAGGGCCATAATAGCTTGGGCTGGGTCAAGCAGAAGCCAGGAGCCTGGAGCTTCATTCAGGTCTTCCACATAGGTGCAGGGACCCAAGCAATTGGGCCATCTTCTGCTGCTTTCCCAGGCACATTAGCAGGGAGCTGGATTGGAAGTGGAGCAGCCAGGACTCGGACCAATGCCCATATGGTATGCAGGCATCCCTGGTGGCAGCTTAACTTGCTGGGCTACAACACTTGACTCATCTTTATTTTTATTAATTAATTAATTAACTTATTTTACTTGAGATGCAGTTGCACATAGAGATAGAGAAATAGAGAAAGAGAGAGACCTTCCATTCACTGATTCACTTCTCAAATAGCTGCAACAGCCAGGGCTATCTAGGCTAAGCCAAGCCAAGCCAAAGCCGGGAGCCTGGAACTCTGTCCTGATTTCCCTCCCATGTGGGTGGCAGAGGCCCAAGGAGTTAGGCCATCCTCTGCTACTCTCCCAGGCACGTGAGTAGGCAGCCAGATTGGAAGTGGAACAGCCAAGACACGAACCAGCATTCATATGAGATGCCAGTGTCACAAGTGGCAGCTTAGTCCACTGTGCTATAACGCCAACCCCTACTTGCCTCTTTTCCAAAAGTATTACATACTATTTTAACGTTAAATTAGAGTCAATTCACATTATTTTATTTTTTTCACATTATATGTTTTTATAAATATTTTCAGAGCCCATTGGAAAGGCTGTGATATCCCTATTTATTAAAATAACAAAACAAAACATGGTGGCAGAAACCAGATAGATCATTTAAATGCTTAGAAAAATAATGAATGAAAACAGTGTCCTGGGAATAAGGCTGGCACTTTTGAAAGCTTCAATGATCCTTGATCGACCAGAATGCCTTCAACATTAGAAGGAATTCCAAACAGGCTATCATTAGAACAGGTTTTATTTGATTACCACATTCAAAGCTTGAGTTATTGGTGTTTCCTCTCGGTTTCCGTCTGAAGTTCATTTTCTTTCTCTCTCCCTTTGAAAGAAGCCATGAAAGTGTCAGCTCCCAGGTACTCACCAAGGGCTAGCATCATTTTTGGAGATATTATTCTAGGGAAAAGCAGAGGAAAAAATTGGGATATTTTAAGAGAAGTCAAAAAGATTCACACAACATCTGAAAGGTGATCTGTGCCGTGCGTTTGTTATTTAATGAAAGGAGTAAACAGAGGACTGCTGTGTCCCATCTGAGCACTGTCAACATTCTCAGTCAACCATGCCTTTGTTTCAGAGTCACCCCTGGGGTTAGAAAAATTCTAATGTTCAGGTCATGATTTATCCGTATATCACAGTCTCCGAGTTCTGTGGAAAGACCTTGCTATCTTTACTTACTAGGCTGAAACACAGTAGCAAAAACTAGTAAGAAAATCAGATCACTTAAAACAGACTGTCTCAGGATCAGTGGCTGTACTTGTTCACCAGCTGATTTCAATGTGCATCCACGGTGAGAACCCTTGTCTCACATCCTTGATGATAGAGGCTGTATTCTCAGCTCAGTTCTGCTTCTATCAGCGTGGTTCTGCCCAATTTAACTTAGCAAATATGAGCTTGTATTTATTACATGCTATTTTATGTTAGGTACTCTTCTTTTTTTTTCTCTCCAGAGAGAAGTTAGGTACTCTTCTAAGCCAGAGCATGTAGAAGGAAAAAATGGAGAAAAACGTCTTCTGTCCTCAATGAGCAAACTGGTAAGTGACCATGGTGTGATGAGTGCTACAAAAAGCAGGGTTAGGTGTGAAGGGATAGGACAATGAGGGACTTTGACCTGGCTCAGCAATCAGGGCAGCCAAGAATGACCGGAAATATGCTGAATAGTTAAACAGAAAAGAAAGTACTGTATTTGTCAACAACCTAATTCTATCCTGGTGATTCTCTGTGCTTTCTACTCTGTGAATACAGGTTTCAAATTCCTAATCTGCAAATTCTGAATCTGAAATGTTTCAAAATTGGAAACATTGTGATGACACAGCAAGTGGAAAATTCCAAACCTGACCTCATGTTGTGAGTTGCAATCAAAATGCAGGTGTAAAGAGAACAGCAATCTAAGAGACAAGGGATCAACCTAGGTGTTCATTGATGGATAAATGGATAGAGAAAATGTGGCATATAAACACATTGAAATATTTTCAGCTATAAAAATAATGAAATCCTGTCATTTGTGACAACATGGGTGAAATGTGAGGACATTATGTAAAGTAAAATAAGGCACAGAAAGACAGATGCCACATGATCTCATTCATTATGTGAAAATTTAAAAGTTGATTTTATGGTACAGAGTAGAATAGTGGTTAGCAGATCCTGGGAAGGGTATAGAGGTGGAGGCAGGGAATGGAGGCTGCATGGTTTAATGGGTATGGCAGTGCAGTAGGGCAGGAGGAATAACCTCTCATGTTCTGTTGCCCAGTAGTGTAACTGTGGTTAACAAATATTAACTGGATATTTTGAAATAGATAGTAGGAAGGATTTTGAATGTCTCAACACAAAAAAAACTATTTGAGGTGATGGATATACAAATCATCCCAATCAGATCTTTATGCATTGAGTACATGTATTGAAATGTTACATTGTACCCCATACATGTGCAGTTATAATGTGTCTATTGAGAAAAGGAGAACAAAAACCACATGTACTAAAACTCTTGCATAAAATTATCGTCAGACTATATATAAGATATATAAGGTGTACATGAAACAAAATGAATTTCGTGCTTAGATTTGGGTCTCGTCTCCAACATATCTTATTACTTGTATCCAAGCATTGCAAAATCTGACAAAAATCCCAAATCCTAAATACTTCTAGTCCCAAGCATTACAGACGGGACACTCAGCTTACATTTATAACAGGAGAAATAAAGCTTATGGTCTATAATCAGACTGCAAATTTTGGTTTGAATCTTAGTGCTAGCATGTATTAGCTGTTTATCCCTGAAAAAGAAAAACAAACAACTCTATTTAAGTCCCAGGTTTCTTAAATGTGATGAAATTCATGCTAAGTTGTTACTAGAGTATCAGTCATTCAGTAGGCACTCGATAAAGGCTAGATGTCTTCTCTGGGCTGAATCCACCCATAAACACTTTGGAGTTCACAGTGTGGGCTTTGTATGATGTTATAGGCCCTTTCACTAAATTAAATGAGCAACATGCGAATTCCTTTAATATTTTTGTGACAGCATGCTCAGGTATTTTGTCCTTTGTTTTAAAATTGAACTCTACATTTGTCAAACTGAATAATTCACTGAAAACAAAAATACAACAGTCTTAACCAAAACAATGAAAACCCCCAAATAATGATGGTACACTCCTTGTTTCCATGCTAAAGTAAATATTATGTTTTCTGCAATGCTTAAATTGTTGCTGAATTTTGTCTATATATGAAGTAATCAAAACAGCAATAGTCCAAAAAATGTCCTTGCACTATTAGAGTTTTCCCTTCTATTTAGAAAAAAATACGAAATTGCTTTCTAGGCAAAGGAAGTAGCAATGATTGACAATGTGCTCACAATAACTAAAATGATAGTGAGGTCATTATTAACTTACTGTTTAAGGATCAAGGCAATGTATGCAAATTTGGGTAGTATTATGTAAACTTGTTCTTGTAAGATAGCATTTACCACTTTTTGGGCCACATATTCTGGCTCCAGTATAGGTAACAAAAATGAATACCTGTAATGATAAAAACAAGAGGTTACATCACCAGCATGATATTGTTTACTGTCATCATGATAATCACTTACTACATTTCAGAATGAGATCATAACATCGAGCTGTAAATAGTCACACAACAACTAAATAATCGGGATTGCCATGATTTTTTTTTATCCCATGAACAGAATTGGAACCATTACTAGTTTATTTAAATTTATAGAGAGAATTCCTTGCTTTTGAGTTTTTGCTTCATAATGATCTGAACAGATGGAAATACTGGCTTTTATGTTTTATGTTCTCTTTCTTCCTTTTCTCTTCTCAAACATCAAATAATTAGGTACTATGAAGAAGCCAAATTGACAATATTATTTTACCAAAGACAATATCTTGAGTATCTCTAATATGTCATTTTAGTCAGTCCATTTTTAAGTACTAAGCTAATATAAATGTTTGCAGGATCAATAGCAGCTGAAATAGATGAGGATATAAGCAAATATCCTGTAGGGTATTACTTTGACTTTTATGTTCTTCTCAATTACTTGAACCACAACAACCTCAAAAATTTCTGTTTATCTCTACTGATTCTTGGGTTCTGGTTAGGTTTCCATAATTGAATGTAGGCAATTATTCTTTATATTTTACTGTCCTAAGATTTGTTCAGAACTACAGCCTGCAAGTCTCCAACATTTATAAAAGTATGTAATCTTCAGTCTTTCTTTTTCTGGAGACTTCTTTTTTAGCTTTCATGTGCCTAGGGACCTGAAGTTTGTAAGTTATCATTTAGGAACTGGTGTTGTGCAGCAGGTTAAGCTGCCACTTACTATACCAGCATCCAGTGTTGGAGGGCTGGTTTGAGTCCTAGCTGCTCTGCTTCCAATTCAGTTCCCTGCTTATGTACCTGGAAAAGCAACGGAAGGGTGGCCCAAATACTTGGGCTCCTGCCACCCACATGGGAGATCTGGAAAAAGCTCCTAGCTCCTGGTTTCAGCTTGGCCCAGCCCCAGCTGTTGTGGCCATTTGGGGGAGTGAACCAGTGGATAGGAGATCTGTCTCTGTCTCTGTTTTCATCTCTCTCTCTCTCTTTCACTCTGACTTTCAAACAAATAAATAATAAAAAAAAAGAATCATCATTTAGCATCACTGTCTTTGCTGTTATCCCCACAACCTCATCCTGGATGGTTGCATGCCTTCTTTTAACAGCACTTAATCACCTTATCAATCCTTACTTATATCATTATTTTAATCATAATATTTGAAACAAAGAAATAAAAATTTAAAAAATAATAAATATTCATTTTATATATATTTGTTATAAATATTACTGATACATGTTTGCAGATAATAATAAATAAAATATGCAATACTTTTTTGTTATAAATTACATACAGTCAATTTCTTCCCACGGAATGCTTCTGTTAATTTTTGTGAATTCTTGCATCACATAGTTCTCCTGTGTGGGCATGCCACATTTTAATTGTCCATTTGTTAGTTGGCAGAGAATTAGATTCTTTCTACGTTTTTGCTGTTATGAATAGTTCTGGATGAACATCCATGTACAAGTGTTTGTAAGGATGTGCATTTTTATTTCTCTTGGGTGTACACCTATGAGGGGAGTTGCTGGGCTATAAGGTAACTCTGTGTTTAACATTTTGAGGAACTGGCAAACTATTTTTCAAAGCAGCCGTACCAACTTAGAGTAGCACCAGCAATGTATGCGAATTCCAGCTTCTCTCTAGCTTCACTAACACCATTGTCTACTTTTTTTATTATAGCTATCCTACTTAAGGTGAAGAGCTATTGTAATTTTTATAATAGATTTATTGAAATAAAATTCATATACCATAAAATTCAGTCTTTTAAGATATGCAACTTAGAGATTGTTTAGTAGTATCATTAGGAAATTCTTCATCACTATCTAATTCTAGAATTTCATCACTGTTCAAACCCTTATATCCATAGCAGTCATTCTCCACTTGTTTCTCCTCCAGGCTGTCCTAGATCATCAATAATATACTTTCTGTCTTCATAGATTTGCCCATTTTGGACTTTTTATATAAATGGAATCATACAATATGTGGCTTTTTTTGTCTTCTTCCACTGAACAATATTTTGTGGTACATCTATGTAGTAACATGTATCAGAATTTTATTCCTCTTCATAACTGATGTTTAGTTGTATAGAAATATTACATTTTGTTTTTTTCACCACTTGATGACCATTTTAGTTGTTTGATCCTTTTGAATATTGTGAATAATGCTAATGAGAACATTTGGTTAAATTTTTTTTTCATTTTCTTCAGTATATACCTAGGAGTACAAATATGGTAACTTTATGTTTACTCATTTGAGGAACTGCTAAGTTGTTTTTCAAAGTGGCTGCATGGGCCAGCGCCATGGCAGTAACTTAATCTTCTGCCTACAGCACCAGCATCCCATATGGGCGCCAGGTTCTAGTCCCGGTTGCTCCTCTTCCAGTCCAGCTCTCTGCTGTGGCCTGGGAAGGCAGTGGAGGATGGCCCAAGAAGTGCTTGGGCCCCTGCATCCACATGGGAGACCAGGAAGAAGCACCTGGCTCCTGGCTTTGGATCGGCACAGCACCAGTTGCGGTGGCCATTTGGGGAGTGAACCAACGGAAGGAAGACCTTTCTCTCTGTCTCTCTCTCTCACAGTCTGTAACCCTACCTGTCAAATAAACAAAACAAAACAAAACAAAACAAAACAAAACAAAACAAAACAAAACAAAGTGGCTGCATCATTTTACCATCCAGCCAGCAGCATGCAGGATTCCAATTTCTACACATCCTCGTCAACACTAATTACTGTCTGTCTTTTTGAGTGTAGCCATCCTAGCAGGTGTGAAGTGGTTCCACAATGTGGTTTTGATTTGTGTTTCCCAAATAACTAATAATGTATTTTTATGTGTATAGTACTTGTATACCTTTTTAAAAAATGTCTATTTAGCTATTTTTTAATTTTAAAATTAGTTTATTTTTATTGTCGAGTCATTGATAATTCTTTGCATATTCTGGATACATTAGCAGCTATGGGATTTATAAAAATTTTCTTTCATTCTTTCAGTTGAATTTTCACTTTATTATTGATGTTATTCTTTGAAGTGCAAAAGTTTTAAATTTTCATTAGTTTATTTACCTTCTGTTGTTGCTTGTAATAAATACATATAATAAACCATTGTTTATTCCAAGGTCATAAAATTTTCCCCATTTTCCTTTAAGAATTATATGGTATTATCTCTTACACTTAGGTTTTTAATCCATTTTGAGTTAATTTTTTAAATGATGTAGCAGTTGGGGTCCAACTTCATTCTTTTGCACATGGCTGTAGTCAGCCCAGAATTGTTTGTTGAAAAGTTGTCATTTCCCCATTGAATTGTCTTGGCACCCTGTTGAAAATCAGTTGAGCACACATAAAACGGTTTATTTTTGAGCTCTCAGTTCTATTCCACTGATATGTATGCCAAAATCACACTGTCTAGGGTGGCTTTGTAGTAAGTTTTGAAATCAGAAAGTGGTGTTCAGTCCTACTGTCTTCTTTTTCAAGATGGCTCTGGCTTTCTGTGTTCTTCACATTTCTGTATGAATTTTAGGATCAGCTTGTCAGTTCCTATCAAAATAGAAGCTAAGATTCTGATAGGAATTGCATTGAATCTGTTGATTGATATGGAGAGTAATTGGATCTTAACAATATCAAGTCTTTCAATCTGTAAATTCTGTTCCATTTATTTAATGTGCTCTTTTTATATGTTTTCTTCTTTTAGTATTTTACTTATTTATTTAAAAATTTAACTGACATAGAAAAATTGTACATATTTATGGGTTATCATGTGATATTTTGATACATGCGTACCCTGTGTAATATCCAATCAGGTTAAATATATCTGTTTCCTCAGACATTTAACTTTTTTAATAGTGAAGACATTCAAAATCCTTTCTTCTAATTACTTTTGAGAAATAAAAAATATATTATCAATATTTATAGTCATCCTACTGTGCAATAGAACACCAGAGCTTCTTATTCTTTTGTTGTTGTTGTTGTTGACAGGCAGAGTGGACAGTGAGAGAGAGAGAGAGACAGAGAGGAAGGTCTTCCTTTGCCGTTGGTTCACCCTCCAATGGCCGCCGCGGCCAGCGTGCTGCGGCCGGCGCACCACGCTGATCCGATGGCAGGAGCCAGGTGCTTCTCCTGGTCTCCCATGGGGTGCAGGGCCCAAGCACTTGGGCCATCCTCCACTGCACTCCCTGGCCACAGCAGAGAGCTGGCCTGGAAGAGGGGCAACCGGGACAGAATCCGGCGCCCCGACTGGGACTAGAACCCGGTATGCCAGCGCCGCAAGGCAGAGGATTAGCCTAGTGAGCTACGGCGCCGGCCGCTTATTCTTTTCTAACTGTGACCTGTATCTGTCAGTCAACCTTTCCATCATCATACCACCCAACTCTCCCCAGCTTCCGAACTTGCATGAGATCAACCTTTTAGATTCCATATATGAGTGAGATCATGCAATTCTTGTCTTTCTGTGCTTGATTTAATTCATTTAATATTTAATATCTTCTTTGATCTCTTTCATAAGCATTCTGCCATTTTTGTAGTATTAAGTTTTACATTTTTTTTTATCTTTTATTTAATGAATATAAATTTCCAAAGTACGACTCATGTGTTACAATGGCTTCCCCCCCCATACCGTCCCTCCCACCCACAACCCTCCCCTTTCCCACTCCCTCTCCCCTTCCATTCACATCAAGATTCATTTTCGATTATCTTAATATACAGAAGATCAGCTTAGTATACATTAAGTAAGTATTTCAACAGTTTGCTCCCACACAAAAACATAAAGTGAAAAATAATAGATGATTTTTTTTAAATGATGATGAAATCAGATCAGACCTATTGTCATGTTTAATCCCAGTGAGAGTCAAGTTGGGAATTGATAATTTCTTTCTTTCTTTCTTTCTTTTTTTTTTTTTTTTTACAGAAGATCAGTTTAGTGTACATTAAGTAAAGATT